CGGCGGCGCTGCCAGTGCGCCCCACGCCTCGCCAAAACCTCGCCGGCGTGATGATCGACATCAGCTCACGCAGGCCCCATCGAGTCCATGTCAATCATCTCGCTCCAGATCGTCCGAGATCGCCGAGATCGCGATCTCGTCTCGAGATGAAGGATGATTGGGCGGCGGCGGCGCTGCCAGTGCGCCCCACGCCTCGCCAGAGTCTCGACGGCGTGATGATTGACATCAGATCACGCAGACCACACGTCTAGTCCATGTCCGTCAACTCGCTCGAGATCGCCCGAGATCGCCCGAGATCGCGATTTCGTGGCATGCCGCGTATGCGCTTTCAGGCGGAAGAAAGTGCCCCACCAGTGGAGGACATTCAAAACCCAGCACGCATCCCCCCCAGCCGAGTTCATGGCTGGGGCGAAAGGAGCTTCAGGTTGCCCAACCAACCGGCGCAAGCGCCTCCCCCTGGCCCGAGGCGTGTTGCGGCACGTAGCCCGAGATCGCGATCTCGCCCAGAGATGAAGGAGAGTAGGTGGCGGCGGCACTGCCCTCGCGCCCCACGCCTCGCCAAAAAGCTCGACGGCGTGATGATCGACACCAGCTCACGCAGATCCCATCGAGTCCATGTCCGACATCTCGCCCGAGATCGCCCGAGATCGCCCGAGATCGCGATCTCGCCCAGAGATGAAGGAGAGTAGGCGGTGGCGGCGCCGCCATCGCGCCCCCCGCCTCGCCAAAACCTCGACGGCGTGATGATCGATATCAGCTCACGCAGACCCCATCGAGTCCATGTCCATCAACTCGCTCGAGATCGCCCGAGATCGCCCGAGATCGCGATCTCGCCTCGAGGTGAAGGGAGAGTAGGTGGCGGCGGCGCTGCCATCGCGCCCCACGCCTCGCCAGAGCCTCGAGATGAAGGGAGAGTAGGTGGCGGTGAAGCTGCCCTCGCGCCCCACGCCTCGCCAGAGCCTCGACGGCGTGATGATAGACATCAGCTCACGCAGACCCCGTCGAGTCCATGTCCGACATCTCGCCCGAGATCGCCCGAGATCGCCCGAGATCGCGATCTCGCCCAGAGATGAAGGGAGAGTAGGTGGCGGCGGCGCTGCCCTCGCGCCCCCCGCGTCGCCAAAACCTCGACGGCGTGATGATCGACATCAGCTCACGCAGACCACATCGAGTCCATGCCAATCAACTCGCTCGAGATCGCCCGAGATCGACCGAGATCGCGATCTCGCCGGCGTGATGATCGACCTCAGCTTACGCAGACCCCATCGAGTCCATGTCAATCATCTCGCTCCAGATCGTCCGAGATCGCCGAGATCGCGATCTCGTCTCGAGATGAAGGATGATTGGGCGGCGGCGGCGCTGCCAGTGCGCCCCACGCCTCGCCAGAGTCTCGACGGCGTGATGATTGACATCAGATCACGCAGACCACACGTCTAGTCCATGTCCGTCAACTCGCTCGAGATCGCCCGAGATCGCCCGAGATCGCGATTTCGTGGCATGCCGCGTATGCGCTTTCAGGCGGAAGAAAGTGCCCCACCAGTGGAGGACATTCAAAACCCAGCACGCATCCCCCCCAGCCGAGTTCATGGCTGGGGCGAAAGGAGCTTCAGGTTGCCCAACCAACCGGCGCAAGCGCCTCCCCCTGGCCCGAGGCGTGTTGCGGCACGTTGCCCGAGATCGCGATCTCGCCCAGAGATGAAGGAGAGTAGGTGGCGGCGGCGCTGCCCTCGCGCCCCACGCCTCGCCAAAACCTCGACGGCGTGATGATCGACACCAGCTCACGCAGATCCCATCGAGTCCATGTCCGACATCTCGCCCGAGATCGCCTGAGATCGCCCGAGATCGCGATCTCGCCCAGAGATGAAGGAGAGTAGGCGGTGGCGGCGCCGCCATCGCGCCCCCCGCCTCGCCAAAACCTCGACGGCGTGATGATCGACATCAGCTCACGCAGACCACATCGAGTCCATGTCCATCAACTCGCTCGAGATCGCCCGAGATCGCCCGAGATCGCGATCTCGCCTCGAGATGAGGGGAGAGTAGGTGGCGGTGGCGCTGCCCTCGCGCCCCACGCCTCGCCAGAGCCTCGACGGCGTGATGATCGACCTCAGCTCACGCAGATCCCATCGAGTCCATGTCCGACATCTCGCTCGAGATCGTCCGAGATCGCCGAGATCGCGATCTCGTCTCGAGATGAAGGATGATTGGGCGGCGGCGGCGCTGCCAGTGCGCCCCACGCCGCGCCAGAGCCTGGACGGCGTGATAATCGACATCAGATCACGCAGACCAAGTCGAGTCCATGTCCGACATCTCGCCCGAGATCGCCCGAGATCGCCCGAGATCGCGATCTCGCCCAGAGATGAAGGAGAGTAGGTGGCGGCGGCGCTGCCCTCGCGCCCCCCGCCTCGCCAAAACCTCGACGGCGTGATGATCGACATCAGCTCACGCAGACCACATCGAGTCCATGTCCGACATCTCGCCCGAGATCGCCCGAGATCGCCCGAGATCGCGATCTCGCCTCGAGATGAAGGGAAGTAGGCGGCGGCGGCGCTGCCCTCGCGCCCCACGCCTCGCCAGAGCCTCGACGGCGTGACGATAGACATCAGCTCACGCAGATCCCATCGAGTCCATGTCCGACATCTCGCCCGAGATCGCCCGAGATCGCCCGAGATCGCCCGAGATCGCGATCTCGCCCAGAGATGAAGGAGAGTAGGTGGCGGCGGCGCTGCCCTCGCGCCCCCCGCCTCGCCAAAACCTCGACGGCGTGATGATCGACATCAGCTCACGCAGACCACATCGAGTCCATGTCCATCCACTCGCTCGAGATCGCCCGAGATCGCCGAGATCGCGATCTCGTCTCGAGATGAAGGATGATTGGGCGGCGGCGGCGCTGCCAGTGCGCCCCACGCCTCGCCAGAGCCTCGACGGCGTGATGATCGACATCAGCTCACGCAGACCACATCGAGTCCATGTCAATCAACTCGCTCGAGATCGCCCGAGATCGCCCGAGATCGCGATCTCGCCTCGAGATGAGGGGAGAGTAGGTGGCGGTGGCGCTGCCCTCGCGCCCCACGCCTCGCCAGAGCCTCGACGGCGTGATGATCGACATCAGCTCACGCAGATCCCATCGAGTCCATGTCCGACATCTCGCTCGAGATCGCCCGAGATCGCCCGAGATCGCGATCTCGCCTCGAGATGAAGGAGAGTAGGTGGCGGCGGCGCTGCCCTCGCGCCCCACGCCTCGCCAAAACCTCGCCGGCGTGATGATCGACATCAGCTCACGCAGACCACATCGAGTCCATGTCCGGCATCTCGCTCGAGATCGCCCGAGATCGCCGAGATCGCGATCTCGCCTCGAGATGGAGGATGAGTGGGCGGCGGCGGCGCTGCCAGCACGCCCCACGCCTCGCCAAAGCCTCGAAGGCGTGATGATCGACATCAGCTCACGCAGACCACGTCGAGTCCATGTCCGACATCTCGCTCCAGATCGCCCGAGATCGCCGAGATCGCGATCTCGCCCAGAGATGAAGGATGAGTGGGCGGCGGCGGCGCTGCCAGTGCGCCCCACGCCTCGCCAGAGTCTCGACGGCGTGATGATCGACATCAGATCACGCAGGCCACGTCGAGTCCATGTCCATCCACTCGCTCGAGATCGTCCGAGATCGCCCGAGATCGCGATCTCGCCTCGAGATGAAGGGAGAGTAGTCGTTCTCGCAGCTGTGCAGGCCTGTTCCTTCTGCGGCCTCAGTGTCCTGTGCAGCGGCCTCAGTGTCCTGCTGATGGCGGGATAAGAACGACCGCGTTCACGACGTGCCGCGCGCCTCGTCAGAGCCACGATGACGTGATGCCGTAGAGCCGAGCACGTCGAGTCCGTACGCAGCATCTCACCAGCTCCTGTTCAGTCAGCGGCCTCAGCGGCTTGTGCGGCGCTTTGCTCCGTTACCCGAGGCAAACCCCTTGCTGCACCAGTGCCAGGTCCGACAGGTGCAAGACAGCGCCGCTGTCTGATGCTGCCACTCGCCGCCTCTAGCATCCCCGTCACTCCCTGTACACTTCGCCCATGCCTGACGGGAGCTCCTCATGCCTTCTCTCCATGCCTGACTGGAGCTCCTGCATGCCCTGTCCCCCGACGAGGCGCCGCAGTCCGCGTCCCCCGCGTCCGTTGCGAGGTGACGGACGGCGCGACCACCTCCGCACACGCGTCTACACCGCCTTCTTGATCCCATCCACCAAGAATCAAGCGATGTGATCCCAGAAGGCTTGCGTCGTCATGACGGGTGTCACTGCCGCGGCGCCGCGCCGCGTGCCGCGTCGTCGCGCCCTGTGACGAAGGATCCGTGACCGTACTGGCTGCCATAGAAGAATGCGGAACGAGCAGCCAGAAGCAGTCGCGCGAGTCAGAGTCGGGCACGAGACGTCGAGCATTGAAACCATTCGCACAAAGGGCACGCGAGGTACGACCGTGCCCGACAGTGCTATTAAAATGACTCGGCTCCAGGCGAGGGCCTCATGGCGTTTGAGTACGGGCTCGAAGACGTCAGAAAGGCGTTCCGCCGCTGCCCAGTGGCCTGGCCTGGCTTCTCAGTGGTCTTCGTATGGGACCCGGTGAGGCGGATCACGGCGGCCTTCATCCTGCCGGGGTTTGCCTTTGGAGTGTTCTCTGCCGTGCTGGCGTGGAACAGGTACCCGGCGCTGCTCTGCCACGTCATGCGGAGGCTCTTGGCGACAGCCACGGTGGCGTACTATGACGACTTTGGAGTCGGTGGCGCCGCCTTCGAGAGGGGCTCTGGCCAGCGTGCTCTCATCACGCTCGGCGATGCTCTTGGACTGGGGTGGGCCGAGGACAAGCACGTGGCGATGGTGCAACGTGGCAGCGACTTGCACCCACTCGGTGTATTGCACGACTTCAGCTCGGTCCCAAACTCGGGGGTGGTGCTCATTGGCGTCACAGAGGAGCGCAAAACGAAAGTTGCAGCGCTCATCGACGAGCACATTGCGGCAGGCCGCGTAACGCGGTCTGACTGCTCCACTGTTTTTGGCAAGAGCCGGTTCGTCTTCTCTCCCGTCTTTGGCCGCTTCGGCCTGGCCGCACTCGCGCCGATCAGCGCAGTGCGGACCACCACCCGACTCCTCGAGGGAGAGCCTCTACTGGAGGCCCTGCATTTGCTCAAGCGCCTCGTCCTCGCATCCCGACCCCAGCACTTTCGAGTCGGCGAGCTGCAGGGCTCGCCCGTCGTCTGCCTCACCGACGCCTCTGAAGGTGAGGATGGCTACGCCGGCATAGGCGTGGTCGTGTGGGACCCAAGCGACGACACACTTCTTTGCGTAATGCATCGAGCGTTCACACGTTAATTTATGCTTGCCTTCGCAAAATTGGGGCAAGTGGAGTGGAGAGGGTCCCTTTGACGGTGATGTCCCCAATCCAATGCGGGAATCACGTAATAGTTGTGCGCAATGCGCCGCGACCGATATGTGAGGGGGCGGCGGCCTCGGTACGATGCCGCCGTCGCCACGCATACGAGTCTGCATCCCCCATGTAACCCTCTACACCTCTCCTTATCAGAATCCATGAGAAGCCGTGTGACGAGGAGTGGCCGCGGGCGCTCGACGCCCCCCGGCTCTCCCCTGCAGAACGGTGGGATAGGCTATAGAGCCCAGGCGTTTTAATCCGTAAAGGTTTCGTGCGACCGTCCCCAGTGCAGGATTCCCCTGTACAGGGTGTGAACATCGTGCACTCGATGGTTTTCCCCGGCCCATGCCGGGTACTCTCCAGTCGAATCTGACGTTTGGCTACACTAGTAGAGCCGTGGGCTCATTTCACATAGGCGCTCAGGGCACCTATCTTTGCTTTCGCCATCCTCGCCTCGGCTGTGCGCGGCGACGGAGCCCGAATCGCCGACGAGTCGACAGCCTTTCTTCGCGGAGCTCGCAGTTCCGGCTCGCTCATCGCTGACGAGGCGACAACCTTCCTTCGCGGAGCGCGCAGTTCTGGCTCGCTCATCGCCGACGAGGAGGCGCCGCTCGTGCTTCCGCCTCGGCTGGCCGGCCGCCGCCACAGCCGCCGCAATGGCGTGTGCGGGTGGCAGCAACGTGACTCACGGCGAGCCACCAAACTGCTAGTCTTCACTTGCCTCGTGGGCACAGTCTGCTGGTGGAATGTGGCCAGCCGGCCGCTGCCGCCACCGAGCGAGGCTGCTGCCTTTGGCGACGTGCTCGCGACTGCGGCGCGGAGAGCCCTCGGCGGAGGGCTGTCTGGAGCGGCCGCGGGCGTGATCCAGGTCCTCACACTGATGTGGCTTCGCACCGGCATGCACTACCAGTACAGGCACGGCGTCTCCACGCGGCATGCGCTCCGCACGCTCTACTCTGCGGGCGGGATCCCACGGCTCTACCAGGGGCTCCCCTTTGCTCTGATGCAGTCACCGCTCGTCCGCTTCGGCGACACGGCCGCCCAGTCGGGCATGCTCTCGCTCCTCGCCTCCTCGCGCCTCACTCTGAGCGAGCGCACTGCCTGCGCGAGCGCCGTCGCCTCCTGCTGGTGGCTGGCAGCCACTCTGCTCGACTGCTCCGTGACACGGCGCAGACAGGTCCGAGACATGCCCCGTAGGAGGCTCGCGGTCACTCCGCTCGACTGCGTCAAGACGACGCTGCAGGTGGAGGGGTCTGCCGGCTGGGCGCAGCTCCGCCAGAAGGTGCGGGCACGAGGGATCGGCGTCTTGTACGACGGTGCGATCGCCGAGATGGGCAACTACCTCCTCGGCCAATGGAGTGCGCGTTGAACGAGAGCAGATCGTTCACTAGGCGCGCTCGCCAACATGGCCGCCTCCTTCCTCGGCGGCTTGCCCTGGTGGCTGACCTTCAACGCCCTCTCCGCCGCTTTGCCCGTGGACGAGGCCTCGCCGATCGCGGCGCAGCTCGCCCAGCGCGCCGTGGTCGGCTTCCTGTCGACTGCAGTCTCGGATTGCCTCACCAACGGGCTGCGCGTGCTCAAGACGTCGCGCCAGACGTCGCCGACCTCCCTCTCCTACTCCGCCGCCGCCGCCGCCGTCCTGGCCAAGGACGGTGTGGCCGGCTTGCTCGGGCGCGGGCTGCGGACCAGACTGCTCATCAACGGGCTGCAGAGCGCGCTCTTCGTGGTCGTGTGGAAGCTGATCGAGCAGCGGTTTGACGCCACGTGGCTCTCGAGAGGGGGAGGCGGGTAGAGGCGTGGGGTCTGCACTCTCAGACACGCCGGGGTGACCCTCTCTGTATATCAATGCCTATTCTTCGTTCCAGCGCCAGTCTCCGCAGGGACCGCACCTGTGTTTGTGACAGAGATGTCATAATTTCTTCTTTGTGTCGTCGCGTTTGGAGTCCCTACATACCTCAAGCAGACCCCCTGTGTGTAGCGACATGTACATGTACATGTGTGCATGCACACACGTGTGTCACGTCCGCACATGTACATGTGCCGCCGGTACTCTATAGCGCCGTATGCCTAGGCGGTAGAGTCTATAGAGAGCTCTAGCTGCGCGGCAACTCTCGGTCGCCGCGATCTCTCCCCCTCTCCGCATTGAGGCGTGCACCTCAGCGCAGCGACCAGCGTGCGAGCCGCGTTGAAAAGTGAAAATCGCAGTGTTTTAGAGCCTTCGGGAGCGGAACCCCCTCTGGGGTCCTCATCTCAGCCCGCGGGTGCGGCACACGCGTGTTCTCTTCTCGGAATGTGCTTGTCGCAGTGGCCGGGCGGCGCGAGCGCTAGGACGGTGTTGGCAAAATTGGACCCTCCGTGGTAGAAGCAGCGCGAGAGGGTGAGCATCATCTGCGAGGAAAGTGCCTCGTGACACACTCTGGGCGGGCGGCGCGTCAGACTTGCGCGTGCAGGGCGAGGGGCGCGTTACCAGGTCCAGGAAGATCTCAGCAACGTCGGAGCGGTTGAAGTCGTGCTTGAAGACAGGGTTAACCATGCACTCTGCGCAGCCTTGGGCGCGCACACGCGCTGTCACCGAGCGGGGGAGAAGGACGGACGCGTTTAGGCCGGCGCCACTGCCGAGCACAGCCGCCTTGAGAGGCGTGTTGTCCGTCGCGAGGAAGAGGGGCACCTGTGGGGTATGTCCTGAACGAGTCAGGCACAAGCACATGCTCGCGTGTGGTCCGCCGCAAATAGAGAAAATGGTGCCTTGCCCTCGCGGACAAGGCAATCCAGGATCCTCGTCGCGTCACCCACTGTCATGCGCACGTCCTTCTTGAGCAGCACAGGGGCCTTGGCAAACTGTTTCGCGAGCGGGCAGCGGGAGCTGAGGTGCGAAGGCGTGGGCGCCGACTCCATACAGCGCAGCGCAGCGGCGCGCCTTGTACGGATTGCCAGGTGCGCCGTCGCCGAGGCGGAGGTGCACGCCGTCGAATGGCTGATCGGCAAAGAGTGCCCGCCTCCGCGCCTCTACGGTTCCTCTCAGGTAGGGGGTGGCCGTAAACAGCGCGCGTATAAGGCAGCCGAGCGAGTCTGCGCGGAACTCTCCGCCACCGCGCTCGCCACGGGACGCGTTGCGACTGTGCCGAGGGTGGGGCGGTTGGTGGCGCTGATCGGACGAGAGGTGCCAAGATCGCTCTCACTGCGATCCTTCCTAGGTCGCTAGACCAGTGAGTGTTGCCAGTGACCCGCGTGTACTGCCTGCCGCTGCTCCAGAACTCGTCACCGCCCGGCGCTGGTCCATTCCACCGATTGACTGGCACATCCCTCAGCGCGGCCGCCTCCTCCGCAGTGACTCGCCACTCGATGCGTGTGCTGCCCAGATCGGTCGGCTCGAAAAAGTCAGAGAGTGGGACGGGCGACAGCCAGTCGACCAGCAGCACCTGCGGCGCCAAAGGGAAATGGGTTTCGGTCACGGCTGGGAGACGGCAGGAAGGTTGCGGTGCGGACGCCTGCCGGCGGTAAGCTGCCAGGCGCAGGAGGTAAGCGATAATCCGGAAGCGGTCACCGAATCCAAGGCATCGGGGGTTGGTCCCCGGCATGAATGGACGGCACGTGTACACAAGGTATTCTGCGCCCGGCTCATGGCGGTGCGCGGCATGCCACCGGGCGTACTCGCTCAGCCAGTGGGCGCATGGCGTGGGCTGAAGGTGCAGGAGAGGGCGGCGCTGCCCGGCGACAGGGGTAGCCCTGTGATGGCGGTGCATAATGGACACTCCCTGGCTTCCGCAAGGCGGCTTGTCAGAGGTGTGCGCCAGAGAGGGACGCGCGTTGTTTGTCGAGTTTGGCGCGGCCGCACCGTAGAAAATCACCTAGCGCGGACAAACAGGTACAGAGATCGATCGACACGGTCAGGCACAGCCCTGTCAGTTCACGCGGTGAACCGTGAACCCGGTTCATGAACCCAACCGCCGGTTCATTCACGGTTCGCGGTTCACGGACTCGGCACTCGGGCGGGGCGGGGCTAGTTGGTTCACGGTTCACGGTTCACGATTTTGGCGTGAGCTGACCGGTGCGGCCTCCGAGTCGGCGTCTAGCGCGAGCGCGAGAAGGTTTTTGCTCGCCTTCCCTGGGGACGGGGTGTTGGCTGTTGCATGTCTGACTGTCACTGTCTGTGCGATTTCGTGAACTGAGAGGCCTGGCCAGGCAGCGCCGGGTCCCAGAGGCCAGAGAAGGCTGCAACCGCCTCTAACCCTGCTAATACGCCGGCCACGGCCCGTTTGGACTCGAGAGTGGCGCCGGCGCTGAGCCTCGTAGGGGCCGCCGGGGTCTCAACCTTAGGATCGTACAAAGTACAAAAACCAGAGCAGCTACGCTTCGCTCGCAGTTCGGCTACGCCGAACAAGGAGGGGAGACGTGACACAATCGACGGAAGAAACTCATGTGAGACAGAGAGTCACGCCGGACAGGAGTGAAGCGCCGAGCTGAGCCCTGGTGTCGCGGCGGATTGATAGGAGCCAGTGGGGGTGGGAGAGTCGAGTCAGATGCAACAGCACCGTCTCGGCAGCGAGGCCCATGATGGCGACGGCGGCGACGTAGGCGAGACGGCGGCGAGGGTGGCGACGGTCACGATGAAGGAGGCTTGACGAAATGGATGACGCCGTCGCGCAACATGACATCATCGATGTCGTCGTCCTCGAACTGGTTAGGCTCCTTCACCAGGAAGCGCATTGCCGTCGCCAGCTTCTTTGCGGCGCTGCGCGGGTGCGTGCGCCCATCCGCCTCTGTATCGTCTCGGTTGTTACACGTTTTTGGATGCTATTTGGGGTTACCTCACGACCCGCACGAGGTAGGCGGCGCGCAGCGCCGCTCTCGCAGGCTGTTTTTGACTGCTTCTCGATTAGCTTGCGTCCGTTGCGCTGCACCTCACACGCTGACGTCGGTGACGTGAGATGCGACTCCAACATACACATACTGCTCACACGTCAACGAAGCCGCACATAGACACAGAATCGCATCGAGCGAGAGCCAACAAGAGAGCCGGCACACACAATAGACAGGCAGTGCGACACAGCCCGCCAGCACTCCCAGCTCCCACCGTTCGGCCCGCTAATTGGAATCTAATTGGCTTAGCGCTTGCCTCGCTCGTGTGCGCCCCTCCCTGCGCGGCGACCCCCTCCTCCGCGCCCGGACATGTTGGTGAGGTACGCCTGTCGCCTCGCCGCCTTGCGCGCCGCGCCCGCCCCAGCCTGGCCGTGCACTCCGCCGCCGGGGCGGCTGCTTCCGGTCGCAACCTTGCCCGCGCCGCGAGGGAAGGGGAGGGCATCCTTGCCAGGTGCATCCTTGCCGGGCGCCTGCTTGCTGGGCTTGCCTTTGTTGGCCCGCTTGCCTTTCCCGCCCACGTCCACCTCCACGTCCGCCTCCTCCACGTCCTCGCCCTCCCCGCTCTCCTCCTCGCTCTCCTCCTCCTCCTCCTCCCAGAAGCGCCTCCCCGACTTGAACGCTCCGATCTCGTGCTGCAGCTCCTCGTCGCTCTCCTCGTCGCTCCCCTCGCCGCTCCCCTCGCCGCTCCCCTCGCTGCCCTCCACGCTCTCTTCTCCCTCCCCGCCGGCCGCCTCCACCCGCCTCCGCTTCGCAGGCTCCTCAGCCGCCGCCGCCTCCTCCTCCTCGCCCTCCTCCTCGCCCTCCTCCCAGTCCCACTCATCGCCGCCCTCCTCGCCGCCCGCGCCCGCACGACTGCGCTTGGCCTCCGCCGCCTCGCGCTCGGCCAGCATCCGCTTGAAGCGCTTGCCGTTGACGTGGCCCTCGACCGCAGACGGCTGGCGCGAGACCGGCTGGCGCGTCACGGTGCAGTAGAGGAGGTGCTTGCTCTGCTTGTGCGGCACCAGGTGAGGCGCGTGCTGCTCGAAGTCGTACGCGACCAGCGCCGCCTTCTTCCGGTAGGTCTTGCCCTCCCAGTGCGCCCGCAGCACGTCCAGCTGTGGGAGGCACTCGTGCCCCGTGGTGGAGCAGCGCACCTTGCCGCTGTCGAGGACCTCCGCGTCGGAGTGCGCCGCCACAAAGTCTACGACCGCCTTCGGCGGGGCGGACGAGGAGGACATCGCGGTGCAACGCAGGTGCAGGCGCAGGTCAGCTGGGGCACGTGGGGGCGCGACGCGGGGCTGTTCACTTCACCCTGGGGACCCGGCTCTGCACACAGCCCAGGTACGACGGCAAGAAACCCGAGGGGAAGCTGTTCACTACACGACTGCTTGGAGGATTTTTTCCCGTTCATCATTTGCCGGGCGCTTGCGGTTGTGTGTTCTTCACCTTCCTACATACATACACACCACATACATGGACATGGACATGGCCATGGACATGGACATGGACATGGACATGGACATGGACATGGCATGGACATGGACATGGACATGGACATGGACATGGACATGGACATGGACATGGCACATGCACATGCACATGCACATGCACATGCACATGCACATGCACATGCACATGCACATGCACATGCACATGCACATGCACATGCACATGCACATGCACATGCACATGCACATGCACGTGCATGTGCATGTGCATGTGCATGTGCATGTGCACACATGTACATGTCATGTGTGTGTCTTGTGTGTGAGCCTGCTTGTGTCTGTGTGTCGCTCGTGCGTGTCGTCATCATCTGTATCTCTCGAGTTTCCCTCGCGGGAAACTCGCGAGTTTCCCTGAGTCTGAGAGCTGGTCTGGGGCAAAATCTGAGGCAAAATTGAGGAAATCGACAAAATACCCAGGCGGTCGCAGGGTAATTTCCAGGTATACACGGTTCTCCGCGAAATTCCCGGCATTTTGCCGATTTGGCCTAAAATTTGGCTGATTTTGGGCCCAAACCAGCCTCACCTGCTACAGGCCAAGCACTTGGAGCACTTGGAGTGCAGTCATTAACCGCACATCCAGGGCCGGGGAGCTAAGAAGCGCACCCAGCGGGCCGGATGATTGGCATCGGGTTGCGGGCAAGAGAGCCCTAGCCCTGGGGGTTTGCGTTCGCAGGGCAAGGGCCGTAAAGTAAACACGGGTCTCCGAGGGTTAGCCCCGCGTACCGGGTTTCCCCTTAACTGCAGGACGCCCCCTCTACTCGAAGCTAATGAACACCACACTGCACGCCCCACACCACCGCTCTACACTCACTTGCGCAGCCTGTTCTTCACCTTTCTACCTAACCTAACCTTGCGGTGTGCTCTCGTCCGTGCCTCACCGGCCGGCGAGTTTGCTAGAGCGTAGAGGCGGAGAAGCCTGCTCTAGTCTCACACGTCGCGTGCCCTGTCGCCTGTTTGTATTATTCCCGCTGTTGTTTGTGCCCTTGGCACCTCGGGTGCTGGGGGGGGGGGCGCGGGGGCGACGGGGGGGACGTGGCCGCGAGTGGCGTAGTGCCGTACGCTTACTCGTGATGTGTGGCAGCCCGCAGCTGGCTGAGAGTGTCTTGTGAGCTTGTGTGTGTCTCTTTTCGCTCACGGACGCGTGTCGTCATCATCTGTCCCGCGTCCACCCATACATACCGCGCTGGTGTCCAGTCCGAGCCTGACTGTTCTTCACCTTCCTACCAACCTAACCTTGGGTCTAAATTTAGTGCGTGTGAATGAACTTTAGTGATAGTTTAGTGCGCTAGCTTTAGTGTGTGTTCGAGTGCGTATATAGCACGACATTAGCGCGACTTTAGCGCAAATTTAGCACAAATTTGACACATATTTAGCACATATTTAGTGTGCGTTATCTCCAATTTGCGCCACTTTTAGTTCACTTTAGGTGCGGGCAGCTGCAAGGGGGGGGTGGAGGCTCCCATCGTCTACACAGCGGACCCGACCTCCTGTCGGGGAGCTCGCCACCTCGCCCTTGATCGGGACACGGAACACGTGGTGACGCTGCTGCAGATGAGCGGCACATGGGCCTACGAAGAGGCGACCTCGGGCTTCGTGCCTTGGGAGGCGGCCTTAGGGTCGCAGCCGCCCTCAGGGGCGCCTGGGGGGCGGCTCTGGCCCGACGTGGGGGCCGCCCAGCAAAGCGGCCTGGGGACGAGTGGGGACAACCGGATCACGGGCGACCGACCGACGAGGGTTCCGAGCGGGAGGGCGGCCTGCACCGCCACCAGGTTTGAAGGAGGGGTGGTCATCCTTCCGGCCGCCGCAATTTCTGGGTAGCCCAGAATGCAACCCTGTTGAAGCCAGCCCCTTCAGCCGCCGTCTGGTATGCTGCGGAGCAGGTCAGGAAGCCCCGGAGGGGTATGAGCCGAGGCCATGCCCAGGGTCAGGCATAAAAGGGGGGTGTTTTTCCGTCCGTCCAATCAGCTCACGAGAGTAGTTCTTGGAGCACTTGGAGTGCAGTCATCAGCCTCACATCCAGGGCCGGGGAGCTGAGAAGCGCACCCAGCGGGCCGGATGATCGGTCACTCGCCGCGGCTTGCAGTACAGCGCCACTGCCGCCTCGCAAACGTCGCGCACAGATCCAGGAGGCTGCTCACCAGGCAGCAGAGTGCTGCGCCGGCGTGCAGCAGACGCTGCGGCGCTGCGGCGCCGCCTCCCCGCCCTGCCCATGGAGCAGACGCGCGGCAGCACGGCCCTCCACCAGCTGCAGGAGGTGCGCACTTCCCACAGTCCGAGCCTGGCTGTTCTTCACCTTTCTACCTACCTACCTCCCACAGTGGAAGCACAGGATGCTCCCTCAGCACACGCAGCTTTGCGCAGCGCAGCGCACGGGCCACGCCACGCAAAGCCGACCCTCAGTCTGCCCGAGAGGCTGTCTGCAGAAACCTGGCAAGCGCGCACTCGCCTCCTCCGCGGCCATGCCCTCCGCGCGGGCGAGCGAGCAAGGCGAGAGTGGAGGTGAATCGAGTCGCCATACACTTTTGGCCACTTCTTATTTATTTAGTTCGCGTTCTCATCGAGACAAAAGAAAAAATAAATAAGAGGGCTCCCGCGGCGATCAACACCGCAACTCCTTTTCTAAATTTCACCACTCTTCTTACGCGCGACGACGCTACAGCCTACCAAACCGTTGGGACGGTCGTTGCTCGCGCCGTTGGGAAACGCAAGGCGCACCTTTTTGTTTTGAAGACCTCGATACTTAGCGCACTGCTCGGGCGAGAGCTCAAACACGTGCCGCGTCTCGTCTTCGCCGCCGGCTACGCGCACAGACACAGTACGCGGCAGCGCCGACACGTCAACCCGCGTGTACGTCAGCGACGGGTCGCGCACGCCGCACGAGGCGCATGCGTGCAGCGGCAGCGCGTGCGCCATGCGCTCGTCGCTCCACTCGCCCAGCAGCCGCCGCTTCGTCTCGTCGGAGACGTGCACGCAGCGCTGCAGCAGCGCCGCCGTCTCGTCCTCGGGCCGCTCCAGGTCCATGACGACGTTCGTCGAGGCGTGGAAGCGCGTCTCCAGGTCGATGGCCGCCTGCTCGGCCGCGGCGAGCTTGCCCTGGTCGACGCACATGCCGCACACCGCGTGCGCCGGGCAGCCGCACTGGCCGCGTTGTGGGCGCACGGTCTTGGCGACCGCCGGCGCTGCGCGCCGGTCGTGCTGCTCACGCTGCCGGCGGCGCTGGTCGCGCGCCTGCCGATCGCGCGTGTTCGCGGCGGCTGCATCTCCTGCTCGTTTCGCTCGAACCCGAGCGGCGGTCGCCAGGCGCTTCAGGTCGGCGGTGCTGCGCGCGCGGCCGTCGGCTCTGCACAGCCACATGTCCTCCTCCTCGGCAGGCTCGCACGGCTTGCCGTCGAACTGCGGCGGGAACCCGCGACGACGCTTCGCCCAGGCCGGGCACGATGGTGCCGCGACGAGCGGCGTCGAGGCGACGGCCATCGATGGGTCCAGAAGACTTGGAGACACTTCTAAACCAAAAATCGAGCACAAGTGCGTTACATGGGCATGGCCGGCGTTTCTGCACCGAACGATCTTACTTTCGGTAGGTAGGTAGGTAGTAAGGTGAAGAACAGCCAGGCTCGGACTGGACACCAACGCGGTATGGGTGGACGCTAGACAGATGATGACGACTATCGAAAGTGTTGATCGATAAAAAGAAAAGCTCGCTCCGATGGGAGTTCGCCTTCTCACTCATCGACCTGGGCCGCCGCGACTTCGCGTACCTAATCTACCATGGCGGACCGCGCCTCGCACGGCGGCCCTGGGCTGGTCGACGACCGCCTCCGAGCGATGCAGGCCAACCTGGAGGCGCTAATGGCGCAGGTCGAGGAGAAGACGCAGCTCGCGGCGGAGGGCTTCAAAGAGGCGGGCAAGCAGCGCGAGCTGGTGATTGCGCTCACAAAGAAGATTGACGCGGTGAGCAAGCGGAACAAGGCCCTCGAGAAGGAGGCGACGCGGGCCGAGCTCGCAAGGGCCGAGCTCGTCACTCTCGCTGTCCAGACCGACGAGGACGCCGCCCTGCTCGCGGCGCGTGCGGCGGCGGAGGAGGCGCGGCAGTCGCTCTCGCGGGCGGAGGCGGCTCTGGCGAGAGAGGCCGAGGAGCGGCGGACCGAGGCCGCGGCGGCGGAGCGGCGGCTGGCTGCGCTGCGGGAGGAGGGCGGCGCTGCGGTGGCGGCGCTCGAGGAGCGTTTGGCTGCCGCTGAGGCGGCGAGGGAGAGGGAGAGGGAGGGGGCGGCGGCGGCGGCGGCGGCGGCGGAGTCGGCGTTGCAGTCCGAGCGAGAGGCGCGCGCCACCGCCCAGGAGGCGGCCGCCGCCGCAGAGCGGAGAAGTGGTCCGCTCGAGGCGAGGGATTGCTCTCGCGGCTTGCGCCAGCAGGCGGGCAGCTGCCTGTGACGCGTCCGGGACACGGCCCTTCAGGCGCAGCTGCTCGAGGCGCAGCGGCGGATCGAGAGCGTCGAGGGCGACGCCATCGCCTCGTCGCGGGCCCTCGCCCGCGCCACCGAGGAGCCGCCATAGCCCTGACCCTGACCCTGACCCTGACCCTGACCCTGACCCGGACCCTGACCCTGACCCGGACCCTAAGCCTCGCCCGAGCCACTAGAGGAGCCGCTAGAGGAGGGTCACTAGGAGCCGCTAGAGGAGCCGCCCTCGCTCGAAGCGAAGTGCCGGGTCGGTCCCTCACGCACCGCCGGTCGCACCTCTGGTCAGGAGTCGACTTCGCGCGACGCGACGCTCGAGTCCGCCTCCAGAGAGATAGATAGACAGAGAGATGCCTCCCAGCCGCCGACCTCGCCCCGCGCGTCTCGGACGCGTCGTGCGCGTGGCCCGTAGGTCCCTCTCCCGCCAGCTCATCTCTCCCCATCTCTCCCCATCTCTCCCCATATCTCGGTGGCCCGTAGGTCCCTCTCCCGCCAGCTCGCCGCCTCCAGCGAGCGAGAGGCGGCGCCTGCCGCCGCAACGCCACCCGGCCGTGCCCCGTGCTCCGGCAGTGTCTGTCCGCCCCTTTGGTGTAGGCGGAGCTGGCCGCCGGGCTGGCGGGGCTAGAGGCGGAGAAGAAGAGGCGGGTTCGGTGGGGGTGAGGCGGCGCTCTTCAGCGCGACGTGGCGTGTGGACAGGTCGAGCTGGGAGAGGCGAGAGCTCAGCTCGAGGCGTCGAGGGAGACAGTTGCCACCGCGGCCGACTCGTCGCGAGCAGAGGCGCGAGAGGCAGCCGAGAGGCAGCCGAGAGGCAGCCGAGAGGCAGCCGAGAGGCAGCGGAGAGGCAGCCGAGATGTGGGCGTGATGTGGGCGAGGCTTGTCGGGAGCAGAGGCGGAGGGCGGAGCTGCGCAGTGTCATATCCTCATATCCGTGGCACGTGCACGACACGTCCGAGACATGTCCGAGACATGTCCGAGACATGTCCCGCAGGCGGAGGCGGAGCTGCGCAGTGCGCTCGCCAGTTCGGCGGCGGCAGAGGAGGAGGCGGCCACACTCAAGGAGGAGCTTAGCGCGCGAAACGGTTTGCGCCGCGCTTGCCCGCGCCCCCGCTCCCCCTCCCAGGGGCAAAGCAGCGATGCTCGTTGATGACTCCTCCGCGCTTCCCCAGGCGCGCTGCGCAGCCTCGGCTCCCAGCTGCTCAAGCTGCGCGACGAGCTCGCCGCCGCCACACAGGAGAAAGAGGCGCTCAAGGAGCGGCTCGCCGCTCCTCTAACTCCTTCATCAACGCATCAACGCATCAACGCACTCATTGAAGGCGCTCAAGGAGCGGCTCGGCGCCGCTGACGCAGACGTCGAGGCGAACGCGTACGCGATCGCGGCACTGCAGGCCTGCCCGCCCGCCCGCAGGCACCCGACTCGCCGAGTAGCCACTGACTTTTCAGTTGTCGCGCAGGCGGCTCTGCGTGAGCACGCCGCGGCGCCGCCGGCTGCAGCCGCGCCCGCCGCGCCCGCCGCGCCCGCCGCGCCGGACGTCAGTAGCGGCGTGAGCGGCAACGGGGAGAGCCTCACAGGGTGATTGCTAGAAGAGAGGGAGAGAGGGAGGGGGGGAGGGAAAAAAAACTAGTTGCCGGCCTTTCCTGTTTTGCCCCCCCCCCCCCCCCAAGGGTGCCACCTCGCTCTCCCCTCGCTGCCCGCAGGTGGGGCCGCGAGTCCGACGCGGACTACTCCGTCTACTCCGTCCAGCCCTCCGGCTCCGTCCAGCCCTCCTGCTCCGTCCAGCCCTCCTGCTCCGTCCAGCCCTCCGGCTCCGTCCAGCCCTCCTGCTCCGTCCAGCCCTCCTGCTCCGTCCAGCCCTCCGGCTCCGTCCAGCCCTCCGAGCACCACTCCTCCTTGCCGACCTCGCCCAACCCGCAGCACTCTGCCTTGCCGCCGCCGCCGCCCCCAAACACGCAGCCAGCAGACACGCCGCCGCCGCCGCCAGCGCCCAAATCACCGCCGCCGCCGCCGCCGCCGCCGCCGATCGACGACGACGTGTTGGACGCGGCGGTCGATGCTGCTGTCCGCGCTGCCGACGAGGCGACGCAGGCGGCCAGCCATACACATAGGCCACCTCAGCCGAGCAGGCCCTGCCTGTCTCATGCCCACGACACGTCCCCGACACGTCCACGACACGACACGTCCACGACACGTCCCCGACACGTCCCCGACGCGTCCCCGACATGTCCCGTGCAGGCGGCGAGCTCGACCGAGTGGCTCCGGGGAGGCGCAGAGAGGCCGGGTGGCGGCAGGGTCGACGCAGCCTCCCGGCCGCCCCCGCCCCCGCCCCCGCCCGCCGCCGGCGCGCCGCGGCTGGGTGCGTTTATGGGCGGGGCGCTGGGCGCGGGCGTGGCGAGAGCAAAGGCGGGGTCGCCGCAGAGGCGGGGAGAGGGCGGCCTGTCGGGGCGGGGTGGAACTTTGCTGGCTGGTGTCTCGACTGTAGGAGAAGATGCGGTCGGCGAAGGAGACGGCGCTGCTGCTGGGGGAGGGCATCGGCGCGATGCAGCCGAGATGCAGCCGAGATGCAGCCGAGATAGCGCTGCTGCGGGGGGGCGTCGGCCAGGGGATGCGCGGGCGCTTGGCTCCGACGTGTGTGGACGCTGTCGTGGACGTGTCGTGGACGTGTCGTGGACGTGTCGTGGACGTGTCGTGGACGTGTCGTGGACGTGTCGTGGACGTGTCGTGGACGTGTCGTGGACGTGTCGTGGTCGAGTGGTGACGTGTGGTGGACCTCTCAACCCCTAGACCTCTCGACCCCTAGACCTCTCGATCCCTAGACCTCTCGACCCCTAGACCTCTCGACCCCTAGACCTCTCGACCCCTAGACCTCTCGACCCCTAGACCTCTCGACCCCTAGACCTCTCGACCCCTAGACCTCTCGACCCCTAGACCTCTCGACCCCTAGACCTCTCGACCCCTAGACCTCTCGACCCCTAGACCTCTCGATCCCTAGACCTCTCGACCCCTAGACCTCTCGACCCCTAGACCTCTCGACCCCTAGACCTCTCGACCCCTAGACCTCTCGACCCCTAGACCTCTCGATCCCTAGACCTCTCGACCCCTAGACCTCTCGACCCCTAGACCTCTCGACCCCTAGACCTCTCGACCCCTAGACCTCTCGACCCCTAGACCTCTCGACCCCTAGACCTCTCGACCCCTAGACCTCTCGACCCCTAGACCTCTCGACCCCTAGACCTCTCGACCCCTAGACCTCTCGACCCCTAGACCTCTCGACCCCTAGACCTCTCGACCCCTAGACCTCTCGACCCCTAGACCTCTCGACCCCTAGACCTCTCGACCCCTAGGCGAGGGGATGCGCGAGGACGTCGACATGGCCGTCAGCTTCGCGCGCTCCTTCAAGAGCAACCGCAAGGGCGCAGCCTCGCCCGCGCTGGACCGGCCTCAGCACGAGTCGGCGGGGGCCGCCGCGGCGTCGGCGGCGCAGGCTGCAGCGGCGCTGCACGAGCGAGGCAGTGGCAGCGGCGTGGGTAGGGCCGGGGGCGGGGCGGGTCTGAGCTGTTCCCTGGTGTCGCTTTGATAGGCGAGAAGCTCAGCCAGCTGGACGACAAGTTCCGCTCGCTCGCGGACGGCTGCGAGGACTTTGCCGCTTCGGCGAGAAAGCTGCGGCAACAGCAGCGGTGAGGGCGCTGCCCGTTCACGGCGTCCCTGCTCGCGGACTGCTTAGGGTGGCGCTTGCATGTTGCACATGTTGTTGGAGGAAACTAGACGGCACATGCCGGGCAATAATTTGCACAAAGATGTAAACGTACGCGATTCCATAAAGTACCCGGGGTCAATGGCGATTTTGGCGTTGTGGGGGGGGCTCATCGTTCATTTGTGATTTGAGAACATATTAGATATTTCCGCGCGCCCGCCCGTGCCGCCTCACATGCACATCTCATGCTCATCTCTCGGCGCCGAGCGCGCTCGCGCAATCGGAATCGCGAGCGTGTGCGTGTCCGTTTGTGGTGCGCAGCTCAGGGCACAGGGGTGAGCGTGTTTGTCAGAATATGTCAGAAATATTCGGTGTAAAAAACGAGCAGCAAAGTCAGGGCTCAGGCACAAGAGAGCTACGCGACGATCAAGATCATCGAGATACGAGATCCCAACACCCAAGACTGCTAGTCTTCGAGTACTATCGACTATATGGTCCGGTATATGGTCTAAGCTATCCTCTACCCCTCGGCGAAGGCCAGCACGATGGAGATGCGGCTGGGGGAGCGTCGCACCAAGTAGTCGGTCTGGCCCCACCAGTCGCACACCGCGGCGCCGTCGGCCAAGTCGACCTCTACACCGGGCCGGATCGCGTGCAGCCAAGAGTCTCGCGCGTCGCCTGCAGGAAGGCTCGTGGACGGTCCAGGGGAGTCCGTCGCGCCATCGCGTGCGGCCACAAGCCTCTCGCGTCGCCTGCGAAGTGGAGCAGTGTGCGCGGCTGGCACATTGCGTCGATGTCGAGGTCGCTCCACGAGCGCAGCCCGACCTCGGAGGGGTCCCGCCTTTGGGGACACGCCATGGCCGTGTCTCGGACACGCCCCGGGCAGGCCCAGGGCTTGGGAGGGAGCCTCGCCTGCGCGGCGGCAGGCCGTTGGCGCCGAGCAGCGCGTCGGAGGGCGAGAAAGTGGTCACAACGGAGGAGAGGAGGCCGAGCACGAAGACGTGCGGCCCGTCCAGGCGCGGGTCGAGGTGCGGGTCGAGCTGGAAGAAGGAGTCGCGCCGCAGGTTGAGCGTCAGGTCGCGCAGAGCGCCGACGTTGTACAGGCCGCTCCCCCTCAGCCGGCCGGCCAGCGCTCCCATGGCGGGCGGCAGCGCCGACTCGTCAAAGTCGTCTCCGTAGCCCCACGGAGGCAGCGCCTGGTCGGCCTTCTCCGGCCGGCCCGTCACGCGTGTGTTGTTGACCACCTCGCGCGTCGACTCGATCGAGCCGTCCGCCGGGTTGAGCACGTGCGCCCTCCGGTCGCCGTCGTAGTCGTAGCCAAAGGAGAGCGCGGCCGCACGCGCCTCGGCCGCGAGAGCCTCCTCCTCCGCCTCATCCACGAAGCCAGGCTCGAGCCTCACTCCCGGGTTCGCCGCAGGGAGCACGAAGCCGCCGTCGGACACGCGCCGCAAATACTGGGCGTCGCGGCGCGAGCAGGCGCGGGTGGCGAGCCCGCGTGAGGCCCGCAGGAGGAGACTGGGCGAGAGCAGCCGCATTGGGGCTTAAGTTAAACAGCAGATGGGTCAGACGCGCGCTGGACGAGAGAGCTGGCGAGAGAGCGACCCGGGCGCCGGCGACGAATTGGCTTTCTTTTTGGTACCTGTGTCGAACCGGTGTGCTGTGCGAGAGAGTTCGAATTGTTGAATTCTTTTGGCGTGCCGTGTTGTGCTAGGGAGTTTTGTTATAAGATTCTTTTGGCGGGCCGCGCCTAGACGGGAGCGAGCATGGCTCGATAGAGCCGAGACCCCGTGTTGAGGCGGCGCTCCTTTGGGCGGCTGTTGAATCAGCAGATTCCACCTCATCTTTCCATTACTCTCATCCCAGTGGATGGACGTCCGTACCGTACGTCCCTTTGTGTTCCTCTCCCCGTCCGCCAGCGAGACGCTCAGTCGCTGGCGGCCGCGGTTTTTCTGTGACCCACCACCTCTCCCTTGTGTTTTGTCTGGGGAGGGGCTTCTCCTGCGGAGTCGTGCGTGCGCAGGGCTCCTCTTTGCTTTCTTCTAACCCTCCGCGGTTCCCCATTCAAGACTAAAGATCGAAGATTGAGATTGTGGATTGAGATCGCTGAGCAGCAACACGGGCCAAAATGTGGAGATAGGAGATGGAGAATGCAGATTGTAGATCCTAGCGCCCAGCGCCCAGCCTGCCCCAGCCATCCGCCGCCGCCGCCGACTCTGCTACCTCCTCCCCTCTATAAGGCAAGCGACTTTCTCTTTAAGAGAGAGATTTTTAGCAATACCAAACAACTCTAACACTCACACGTCATTTGGGGCCTGGAGCCCTGTTCACGCGCGCGCGAGACGTGCAGACAGGGTTGCCAGGTGAGAGCGAATGGCGCGGTTCACGCCTCGCACAACAGAGAGAGAGATGCGCTCTGCATGGTGGGACATAAAAGAGAGCGAGTACTTGGGCGAGTAGGCTGTGCGGTCAACGCTGCCGCGCGCGACTTTGCGCGCGAGGCGGCGCAGCTTGAGAACGGCGGTGGGCGAGAAGCCGCCGCCGAACGTCTCGTGGAGCAGCAGGTTGAAGTTGTTGCGCTTGACAAAGATCGCGTCGTGGTAGAAACCGCGATGCGCCTGAGCTCCCCGGCCCTGGATGTGAGCTATGTGAGGTTAATGACTGCACTCCAAGTGCTCCAAGTGCGCCTTGACGTAGCCGTGGCCGGTCTTGTGGGAGAAGGGTTGGCTGGGCTGCCCGCGCGCCTTGTTTTGTTTTTGCTCTTTAATAATAATAATAATTGTTATAATTAAAACGGACATCCCAAGCTAGGGCTGGGTCGAGGACAGACTACACGTCCCCACCTTTGCAGGATTTTGCAAAAGCGAGGGGGAGGAGGGCGCATCGCCGCGCGGAGAGGGCACACGGCACAGGGGATCTCTCTCGCAAAGGAGGTATCTTTTTTGTTCTTTGCCGACGCACTGGAAATTCTTTCTGACAGTTTTTGTTTAAATTCTTTTTGTGTACCTGTGTTAGTGCCAGTGCGCGCCAGTCCCGTGCCCAGTGTTGTGCGACCCTATTTTTCGTAAAATAGTTAGAGGCTGCGCAGGCCGTCCCGTTTGCTGTTTGCATAAAAAACGCCTGTCTGTTGCGCTCAGCGCTGCGCGCGCGCGCGCCGGGGCTGTCTCACTCACGTGCCGCAATATGTGTCAGACACGGCGGCTTCTGCCACCTCTCGATTGGCTCCACTTTCTACGCACACCTACCGGGGAAGGGGTGCTTGGGAGCGGGGGCGGGGGCGGGGGCGGGGGCGGGGGTGGGGGCGGGGGCGCGCAGCGCGCGGCGCGCGCAACAGAGGGTAGGGTGGGGAAGACGGCGAGGAGGGGGCGGCGGCGGCGGCGGCGGCGGCAGCGCGCGCGCGGCGCGCGCGACGGAGGGGCGCGGTCGCTGCTCCGTCTGTGCCAGGGACGCGCGCTCTGCGCCGCTGCACAGAGCGCGCGTCAGGCAAAGGAGGGCAAGCGTGGCAGCGCGGGACGCGCGGCGGCGGCGGCGAGCAGCCGAGCGCTCCGTGAGCGGTGAGGCGGCCGGGCGAGGGCGCGGCGGGTGACGGGTCAAGGGAGCAGCCCACACCCGGCGTCGCTTTTTGAGCGACGCCTGTGGCACGCCTGCGCAGGGGCCGCAGGGCGGTCAGTTGTGGGGCGAGGCGGTGCCGGCCGCGGGCCGGGTGCAAGGCGCCGGCCTCGGCGCCGCCTCGGCGCGCCGCACGGGCGCGGCGAGCCTCTGAGCGGGAGCCGAAGGTTTGCCGCGGTGCGACGGGGTGGCGGTAGGTGGGGTTGCTTGACTTTGCCGCAGAGGTCGTCCCTAGCTGTGAACAGCAAAACGGGACAGTGTTGGTTTGTAAAATTCTTTCGGCCAAGCGCCCCTTCGTCTCGCGGTGGCCCGCTTGCAGGCTTCACAACAGCTCAGCTGCCATCCGCCAGTCCATGCCGTGAGCGATGCCAAACTTGGTAGTGCACGATGCTGCACTCGCGGCGAAGCGGGAGGCGCTCGCCGCCGCGCAGTCGGCGGCGATGGTGCGGCCGGCTGGCGGTTACGGCGCGACGGCGCTCTCCAAGCCGGACCCGAATGCTCCAGCCCAGCGCGCCGAGCGAGTCCGCCGCCTTCAGTTCATGGTGCGCGAGCGCGAGGAGGAGCGGCGGCGGCAGCGGGGAGAGAAGGTGAAGCCGTTCTCTCGAAAGAAGAATTACTACGACCGGCTCGGCCTCCCGCGCGACTGCTCGGCGGCAGAGGTGCGGCGCGCATTCCGGCGCCTCTCGCTGCTTTTCCACCCGGACAAGCAGCTCGGAAAGAGCGACGAGGAGGTGGCGGCGGCGTCGGTCCTCTTCCGTGAGCTGTGCGAGGTGCGCCGGGAAGCCGCAGCCCTTCGACAGCCCTCCTGCAGAGACACGGCAGCCCTTCGACAGCGCTCATGGGACGAGGCGGCGGTGTCCTGGACATGTCCGCGAGGGTGCGCACGCATTGTCACCACAGGCGCACGAGTGCTTGGCGGACGAGCCGACGCGGCGCGAGTACGACCAGATGCTCGCCGCCAAGGCGTGTCACGTGCCTCCGGGACACTTCCGAGACCCTTCCGAGACGCCTCCGTGACCCTTGTGTAGGAGCTCCTCCCTCGGAGGGACGTGCCGCTCGACGATCTCGAGGCGGCTTACCGCGCCGCGCAGCCGCCGCGCCGCCGCGCGCCTCCCGTCTACATCGAGGTGCGAGATGTGGGGAGATCTCGGGAGATGTGGGGAGATCTCGGGAGATGTGGGGAGGAGGAGATCCCGCCTAGATCGGATGCGGACTCGCGAGCTGCACAAGCGGGCGCCTTCTCGCACACCCTTTTGGCACACCCTCACCCTTCTCACAGGTCCTCCTCGGCCTCGCGGAGCTGCACCGCGGCACCGAGGCGACAGTCCGCCACGTGCGGAGAGACGCGGCGCGCAGGAGCGTCGAGCTGGCCCTGCTGCTGCAGCTGCCCGCAGGCACTCCCTCCGGGGCAGAGCTCGTGTTTGAACGGCTCGGCGACGCAGGCGGCGGCGGCGAGGCAGGGGCGGGAGATGTCGTCTGCGTCGTCCGCGAGGTTTGCGCAGCCCGAGAGGAGGGGGGAGAGGGGAGGGGAGGG